GAAGATGCAGTGAAGAATTGGAAGCAGTTGCTAGGAATCGGCATCCATTTACAACCTCAGTAGCTTTCATCTTCATCACTTTAATTTCCTTGTTATGTAAAAAGAGAACAGGAATAACAGTCTCCTGGAAGACTGTGGGTGCTTGCTTCTTTTAAGGTCCCTTAAGCACTTCAAATTTGAGATGAAGAGTGTTAATAAAGAGAGATACCATATGCCTTATTAAAATAATGCCATGGTGTTTTTTTTAATACTGGGATTTCCCAGTATAAACATGTTTACGCGTCCTCCCTCATTCTGAGTAATTTGACAGATAGCTTTTTTCTTGGCAGGTTGCATTTTCAAATACTTAAAATACTGTGTCATGAGTCAAACTTAGTGTGTCAGTGGATAAGTTTTGATTGAGATGAAGAGGGCTAAATAGGTACTGGTCTTCCTATATGATTCTGTTCCGTAGGGGGGAAAAAAAGAAAAAGTTTGTTTCAAGTATGTAGAATAGCAACACTTTTTTTTTGCTCTGCAATATAAATTTTTTTTGCATAGGATGCAAAAGAAATAATTTTTAAACTAGGAGGATGCTCCTCTAAAACCTTTCTCAGTGTCTCAATTATTTCTTAATTAAAAGACCCAATACAGTATTCCAGTAAAGTGGGGCATCTTGCCACCCAGAACAAAAGGGAACATCACAGACAATTCATGCCATTAGGTTTAATTTTTAAATAAGTCATTTGACTAAAGTTCATATGCAGACACAAAAGTACCCCGAGTACTACAGTGAAAGATATGGCAGGTATGCAAGTGCAGCAATACAGGGGCTCTGATACTGTGCCAGCCTGCTCTTCAGGTGCAGATTTTGCTTCCTAATGGAAAGGAGAAGATCCCTCCCTGTGTATGAAATGTTTCTCATCACTTCTCTGAAAGTATGTGCAAGCATATACCGAAGGTATGGCAGGTATCTTGAAACCAGGAATTTGTTTTTTCAGTCAGACAAAATACAGAGGGGAGAATTGTGCTGAAACTTTCTCGCAGATTTTCCATCATTTGGATTGTAAAGTAGCCTTTGCTATATTTTCATAGGTAGAAAACTCAAAACAGTATTAACTGCAGTTCTTCTTTAAAAAAACAAAAGAAAATGCACACACTCAGTTTTCATATGAGAGCTGCTGTTGCTGAAGACCTGCATTCCCACGTGTTCTGCCTGGTAGATACAGGGAAAAGAACAGAAGTCACAGTAGCCTCGGCTCTTCCCTGATTTAAGCTAGTGAGTCTTTTGTGGGTTCAGCCTTGGTCTGCTGCTAACACTAGTAACCTGGTTGCCTTCTGAATACGCATTTGTGCTATTTAACTGCTGTATGTTTAAATCTTACTACCTAAAATAACCTAGAAAGTCTGTAAAATTTCCAACAGGGTAACTTTTGACCAAGGTATAACTAACCTAGATTTGTATTGTTTTCTTTGGCTTAATTTGCAAATTGAACTCATTTGCAGTAGATTAACTAATCTGAGAGCAGAGACTACCACGAGCCAGACTCTCGGGATTTGAATTGCTGACCTACTGTACCAGTCCAGTCTGCTAAGTACCTTTTATCTATCTTCTGCAGATATCAGGGCCCTATTATTCCAGTGAAAATAAAGATGAGACAGAATAAATAACGATTCTGCAGCGTTAGTGTCTTTGCATTCTGATACTCTCTATCGTACATCATAAGCCAGAAGTTGTGTGGTTGTGCTTTTTAAAAGGACCCTTCCTCTCTGCCTCTCCTTTCCTCCTCAAGGCCCCGAACAAACCCAGTAATGTCACGTACCGAGGAAACATTTCATGCAGTCACAGCAGAAATAAAGACAATGTCAGCTGTCAAATCATATGACAGCTCTGTGATGCTCCTTTTAGGAAAGGAACTCTGAATTTAAAGGGGAACTTAAGTCACGGGATGGTTAACAACTGCTGGCCTGTTACTCAGTTGGGTAAATCTCAACCACTGCAGTATGGGAATAAACTGATAAGTCTTTTCTAACTGTGCCAAGCTTTCTGGCAGTGTGCCAGCTTTCAGACACTGTAATAAGAGTGCCACCTAATGAGCTGTAAATGCTAATTTCTATTAGTAGTGTAGTAGTTTTCAGAGCCTGGAGCAAGTCCAGTGGCTTCACTAGAAATGGTCCTTTTTCACTGTGAACGGCTGTCTCTAAAACCTACTGAAGTAGCCTGTGCTTCCACGTAATGAACTTCTGTGGTTCTCTCTATTTTAAAAAAAAAGCAACAAAATAATTTAAATAGGATAAGAGAAAAGGCTGAAAATTAGACTTAAAGGTGACAAATTTTCCTCCTTATTCCAAATGTGAAATCTCCACTGCTTTTCTGATCTTTGCTTCTGTTGTGATGCCTAGATTGTCGTATTCTAATCACCCCGTGTTACTTCTGTAGTAATTTTTTCAGTCTAGTCTCTCATTAACTTTTTGGCAGATCCTAGCCCTGTATTTCAAGAAAAATAAACACTGCACAGAATAACAGTCTAATAAAGTTGGAAGCAGTTGCACGATGGGAAAAAACCATCCCACTTAATGGAGGTATCCTAGTGAGGCGTCCCCTTGCCCTGTGCCTCCTGTGTAGATGTTAGAGCTTACTCCAGAGCTGCCTTCTGCAGTAGCCCCTTTTCTCTATGCTGAGTCCTGAGAGCAGCTAGGAGAAGCGAGCTCCTAATTTTGAGTTCCTTGGCTAAGTGGGATGTAAAGTGGGATATAGTCACAAAGAGAAGAGTTAAAAGTTGTGAAGTCCAGTAGAGACTGTGGGCTGTTTCCTTTATTTATTTTTTTTCAATAGTACTAGTGACCTTTTGCTAGTGATGAGAAAGCCAACTTAAGCTGTAAGACGTTGTGATTGTTACTTACAGTATGAAGTGGCTTTAGTGTCACAAGTTTTGAACTGTATTGGCTACCAGCGAGTTGGGCACAGCCTCCTAAAACACTCAGGTAAAGCTTTTTACCTGTCAGACTTCTGAAGAGCTTCTTCTGCTGTGTCTTGATTTTTGTCAGGAGTACAGTAGAACAGATTTGGACAGGTGCCTCTAAACACTTTCTTAAATAGCCTGTAAAAGAGAAATGAAAAGCTGCTCCAGAAGTGTCTTCAATACTGAAAATGTTTATACAGTTATTCTTCAAACTAACTTGCAAAACTGGTTTCTTAAGTGGTAACAAAAAAAAAAAAAAAAAGCCTGTGCTTGCTTACTACTTGACTATTTTCTGTTCATCCTTTCTTCTGGGTAAAGCAGGATAGTTTATTTAATGTGGGAGTAATTTCCTGGTAATGGGGGGGAGGAATACATGTTTTATGGCTATCCTGAGGTTTAGTTTAATTGCCATTACACTACACATGTTTTCTGGTCTGTAATCAAAAGTATATGTGGAGAGGACACCTAGTGGACAATCACTGAAATACAGGTGAGTTCACTAAATGATCCTGGCAATTTGCAGTTATTTAGGAGGGAAAAAACGTATAGAAACACCTTTTCTCCTGAAGGCAAGAACTACACATATACAGGACCTTCCTTAGGGGAAGTCTGAGACTTTGTAGACTCTTTTGAAGTAGTGGCACTCTTTTTTTTTTTCCTCTCTCCTGTGTTAACTTAAATCACAGCTACAGATCATTGATATCTAAAACAAATTATGGTCTTCAGCAGTGCAATAAAATATTTATATCTGTGTGTTGCCTCAGTCACTTCCATCTATCTTACTTAGCTTGATCGTGTCACAGTTACCAAAATTACAATCTTCTTACAGTTACGTTACCGGAATACTTAGGAATTTCTCTTCTGACTGCAGCCAAGGGGGTGTTTTCTCCCCAAGGCTTCGTTTAGCATGCAAGAGGTGGTGTTAGCACTTTGGGGCTGAGAGTTTAAGAAAGTTGGTCTGGAAAGGCCAAAATGAAAGGTGGTGATGGTGGGAGATGGGAGGAGGCCATCTGAACTTTTTGTCTTCAAGAAGGCTTTGTTTTTTGTCTTTGAGGCTAAGTGAGGTGATAAGAGCAGAAAAACAGGGGAACAGGGAACTTCAGGCATTTGGAGAAGTGTTTATAGCTTTACCTGAGGTTTCTCTGTGTTATGCTAAAGAACTTCCATCCCTCAGTCCCCCTCATCTTTGCTACTCTTTTACTGTTCTCAGTTGGTTTTTTTTCAGTGTATGTCTCCCCTCCCATTACTCCCTTAATCTAGTTCCCTTGTAGCCTCTCTGTTTCCTTTTGCATGTTTTCCTTCCCCAATATGAAATGGATATAGTCTCTGGGATTTTTTTTGTGTGTCTTTTCCCTCACCCCTTATCTTTTGCAGTTTTAACAAACAGAACGTTCCTTGGAGACGTCTATTTGTCCACGTAATACCTAGCATGATGAAGCCCTGTTTTTTGATCCTTGAACACTGCTCAAAGTGCAGTAGTAGTTTTGCCTACACTCGCACCTCTATTCATCAGTGAGAGTTTGCTATTGTAACTTCTTTTCTAGTCAAAGCCATTATTGTTTCTTATTTTGTAAATTTTTATTCAGTTTTGAATGTGAACATTGTCTTTGTAAGTAGCTGCAATAAACTTAAAAGTAAGATGGAGGGGAGGCAACAAGCCTCATCGTTTTCTTGAGGCTTGATTTCATTAAAAAAAAAAAATCTCTCTAAGCAGGGCCTCATTGAAAGAACTGAGACTAGTAGGTGGCATATTCTCCCCCTCCCCCTGCACATTATGTCTGTTTGAGTTTAAATGCCGTGTTTTATTGGCTCGCTGCATGCTGATTTTGTTAGTTATATAGCGATTTGCATGCCCTTGCAACTTAGGCTTGTTGCTTGGTGACTTCTTGAGGAAGAACGGATCTGGAACTATCAATAGCTTCAATAGCTGACAGACTGCTGGAACGAGAAACATGTATTCTGAGTTTATTGTAATTCATTTAGGACTTTCTTTCCTCTCTGACTGTAATTTTTGTTAATAAACAAAATTGTCATCGCTGGCTCTGTTTTATTTTGTAGTTTTGCCAATTTGAGAATTCACCCTCATGGACTAGTGTTGGTGGATCTGCAGAGCTGCAATGATCATATGAAAGGAAGAGAGGAAACCGATCAGGTATGGGTACTGCTTACCCTACTAGGCTTAACAGCTAAATGAGGACCTTACTTTTTCTTCAGGTGTATCAAAGTACATCTTACTGCAAGTTTGAACCTGAAAGGTTACAGATAAGGAGTAAAAATACCCGGTATAGTTGCATACATATGTGAGTGCACACACACTTGCATGTCCTGGGCCTCATGTTCTTTGATGTGAAAGGTGTAAAGACGTAGCAGCCTCTGTTAGTCCTCAGCTCCCTGCAGGCACCCAGGGCAGTGAGAAAGACACAGTGCTCACCCCAGTACCTATAGTATTAGCGTATTAGTTTGCTGTTCCAATCTGAGGGATGGGGAGCCTGTATATTCAAAACTCCTTCCCCAAAAAAGAGAGAAAGGGGGGAAAAATAGTATATTTTTCTTGTTTTTGGATATTTTTCTTGAATTTGGATGTTTCAGGGATGTGGTCCACTTAAGAGAGGAATGAAACCTTCCAGAATTCTTGTTCTCTGTCTTTGCTTGTGTCTGAAAGGTCTGGCCGTCTTATCCAGGAGGACAGCTAAATGAAAACACGATAGTGAGAGCTGTTGTAATGGGGACTTATTTGCTAGGAATGAAGCTGAGGCAACCAGCTAATTATTCATAGACTTACAATGTTATATGGGGAAAACTTTCACTGCAGGTGCTACTTCTTTATTGCCTTCTAAATAGCCTAATTTAACACATGTTTTACATTAAGTGATCGCTTCTATAAATTCCACCTCTCTGTGTGCTATTTTTTCAGCTTCTAAACAAAGTAGAAGAAAGAATGAAAGAATTGTTTCATGGTAATATAAAAAGGGTGAAGCGGTAAGTTCATACGTATAGTGCCACGTTTGATTTGATCGCATAAAGGTAATAGGCTGCATTGCGCTTTAGTATACTGCTGTAAATCAGTAGCCTGGAGTCTGAATTTGTGCATATATTTTTTTTCTCAATGTTTTAAAATGGTTTTATTGCAGAATTGAAATTATAGCTGCAAAGTTTATCATTATGTTAAGCATGATTTTCAGTGCTGTTACTTTAGGCAAGGATAGTTTTTGTCATTATTTTCTGCAGTAGTTGCATTAAATAGTGAGAACACTAGGAACAGTGGTACAAACAGAAAGCAAGAGCAGGCTTCTCTTGCAAGGGCCTTGGTGGTAGCAGGACGGGGACCTCTCTCTCCCTCTGGGCTCTGTTCTGCAGTCCCTGAACAAGCTAAGAGAGCTGGGCTGGTGACGGTGACCAGGGTCAGCCACAGCACCGTGACCGGGAGGCAAGGCTACGGTGACCGCATGGCTCTGAGGCCGAGCCTGGGGGTCAGGACTGGCTAAAGATGTGGGCAGGCATAGCTACAGTGTAGCTCAGGAAAGGACCAAGAGCGAGGGGCTGAGCTTAAATGCAGCTCCTGAGCCCAGGGGGACGAGGCCTTGCATCTCTCTGCCCCGCAGCCTGACTGGGGTTACCTGCCTGGTCTGAGTCACAGCCAGTAGCTCTCTGGGCAGCCAGACCCCTGTGTGCTCAGGGCCCTGCCAAGAAGATTGAAATGGTTTATAACAAAAGCATTTTTTTTTTTTAACTAATTAAATTGAGGGAGGGTGATAACATGTTATGTTATGCAAGTCTTTTGTCATCTTGATTTACTTAAGTTTAAAACTGTATATCAAATTGCGGGGACGGGAAGTGCAGGTAGTTGATTGTCAGTGGGAAGCCATTTGCACCGGAGTTCCCCAGGGATCTGGAAGGGGCACACGTAGCTCGCTCTGGAGTCTTCCTAATGACTAGCAGTGACCAGCAGCTTGGAACAGGAGGAGTACTTACTGCAGTAACCTGTGAGAAGATGCTGCAGGTATTTTAGAGAACGTGCTCAGAAATGGAAGTGATCTTTTTTTTCTTCTTCTTCTTTTTTACATAAATTGAACAAGATTTAGTAAAACCAAGTGCAAAACTCGGTAAGGGGGAGCAAACTGTAATGGAAGAACAACTAAATAGTACCACAGCAGGAAAGAATCTGAAGGTTACGGGTGACCACAAATAAAGTGATAGTGGCTTGAAAAGTGACCTTATACATCAAAGGCAGTGTTTACTTTTTGGTGTTTAACAGGAACATTTTATGTAAAACACAGAGAAGTAGTTATTTTGCTCTACTCAATCCAGGTGAAGCATCACCTGGAGCACTGTTTGCAAAGGTAGATCACTTTGTATATGTGCATATTGGGGAGAAGCTTGCTTTTTGAGGATGTTTTAATACTGAAATAGATTATATTGGGAATTTGTGGAATCCCTGTGATAGAAACTTGTTAAAAACCAGTCAGGCAAAACTCTACCTGGAATGATCTAGTTAAACTTGATTACTTCAGTACAGGAAGATGGACCTCTTAGAATGGTAGATTAGGAAGGGATCATGTAACATACCGCACTACCCCTTATCTCCTTTTAATTTGCTTTATATTGCTCTGGTGTTTAATTTGGGTGACTCTATATGTTTGGAAGCAACGCTGCTAGAAAACGTTCCTGCTTTTTTGTTGTATCTAATAGATCTGTTCTTACTTTCACTGTGTACTGCCATCTTGTGGCGCATTGAAAGTACAAAATATTTCTGAGTTTATTCAGAATCGGTAGGAAACTGGAAGAAGCTTGTCTGTTCGTGTCTGGCCTTCTGCTGCACCCTCCCTTACAAAAACTAAATTTTCAGTAATCACGTACGCAAGGGAAAGTAAATCAAGCTCATACCTGCACGTCTTGCATAAAAATAAATGTGGTTGTTTTGATCAGCCATTTCATATATTTTTGTCTTTTCAATGTAATGCTGATTTGAACCATATGTGTATTTGGAATTAAAAAAAAAAAACTGTCTGGGTGCTTGAACCACATTTAAAAATTGAGTGCAAACTACCAGCTAAGATTTTTATATATGAATATCAAGGGTTGTGCTTACACACTGTAAATGTGACCTGGCTCAGTTTGAAATCCTGTAATGGTTCATCTCTGTGTTCCTACATGAGTTTAAAACGTCTCTTAAATACAATTTCAGAAGGGCCAGGCTTGCTAATCTTAAAGAGTTGTCATTCTTAGATGAGCTGAAGATGGGAAGGGCCTTTGTTACTTACTGGTTTTTGTCCGTGTTCTGCTTTTGTATTGTTCTGCTTTCGCAGAGTCAAGAGTTGATTATTCTGTAGAGGCTAGTATGTTATATAAATCACCTCTGTTAGGGCAGAGATTGATTCTCACGCATATTGTAGAAGCTGCATATAAAGAAGAATCTTTGATATTTCAGTTGTGCTTTAGCAAGCTGTGTCTATCTGACATGTAGCTAATAGGATTCTTAAATCCCTTGAGCATTGAATCTTGTAAATTTTCTTAAATAAAGCAAATAACGTTTGCAAGCGTGAATCTATTATGCTGAGTCCACAGGGTGTTAAAAGGGAAATTAGAAAAAAAAATTCTCAAAGGTTTTGTAATCCCTCTCCGTCTTCTTTTTTTTTCCCCCTAGATTGCCAACCATTTTGAGAGGAGGCGTCATTGATAGATACTGGCCCACAGCAGATGGGCGCTTGGTAGAGTATGACATAGATGAAGTTGTTTATGATGAAGATTCACCATATCAGAATATTAAAATTCTGCATTCAAAACAGTTTGGGAATATTCTTATCCTCAGTGGGGATGTTAGTAAGTATTGTCTCAAACTTTGAGGACTTTCTGGCTGAAACTGTAGGAGATGATGTTTTCCATCTTGCTAAGAACGATTGTTTTGATAGATTACTAAGGGTTATAGTTGTGACATAGAAAAAAATATATATGTATGCATATGTTATCTTTCTCTGTATGAATTATTTAAATAAAAAAGGCTGACCAGATGTGAAATCCAGAATACACAAAGTTTGCTTCTTTTTTCCAGAGTCTCTTGCTGTGGAAAGTGGCACATGACAGTAGAAGTTACGGCGCTTTCTTCCAGAGCTTACTCTACTTGAGTCTTTCATTTGATTTTTTTTTCCTGTTTGTTTTGAGTGCCACCTCTTGAGGGCTTCTTTGTGACAGTAAAACAAGCTATTTGATCAGTCTTCAATACGCAATGGCATTTTAAAAAAATGTGAAGAAGTGGGTGTGGATGGTGGGTGCGGGCAGTAAACCTGCTGCTCTCTTGACTCCAGCTGTAATGACGGAATTACCACCGTAGTGAGATCAACTAGAACAGCTCTGTCTTTACCCATTTAGCTGCTTTCTTGTTGAACATCTTTCCTCTCTGGTCTTCAAAACTCTCAGTTTAACTCTTAGTTAATGAGAATTGTGGTGCAACATGTTACAGGAGGTTCTTTACCTCTAGTACTCCGTGCCTGCTGATTGCTGTAATTTGAAAGTGAACTTGTGGAGAGATAGGATCCTGTCCTTTTAAGCTGGATAAAAATGCCATTTGTTTCCCTGAATCCTAGGGAATAAAGAGTGTACTTGGTAGAGTCCGCCAGTGTTTATGCTGAGAAATACTGACTGAGGTAAATGAGCGATGTTGCTCTCTAGGGACAGAATAGCTGACTTCAGGCTAATAGGAGAGTAATTAAGAATTTTGACTATAGCAGTTTGAAACCACCAAAAATACCTCCAATTATTTAACTAGCTTTCTGCAGCTGCCAAGGGGACTTGTGTGCAGCTGTGAGTATTGTTTAATGTTGCATTCATCAGCAAGGTATTTTCTAATTTGGTTGGAATTTCATCTGAAATAACCAAATTATATATTCCATACTTTGGCCTGAAACTATCATCTAAGTTTCACATGGAAATAAAATTTTATTAGAACACTCGCAACATACATCACAAGTAAAAAGCATGCTTCCTATTTATTTTCCACAGGCTTTAAAAATATTGTTCTGTGCCCTTCTGTTATTGTGGACTTACAAACTAAGTGCTGATTGCCAGCCATAATGTTAGGATATGTGATCATGCTGCCGCACAAAGCTTTGCCTTGCAGCTCAGATCTGTTATTGCAGCTAAGGAAAGTTATTGCCTCGTTTGAAAATAACGATGAAATGAGTCAGGAAAAAGTCATGCTACAAGGCCCCTTGGTGGCTGTGTACTAGTGATTGTAGTGTTTCTGTGCAGGGATCCTTTGGGTACATCTACGTTAGCTTTCTAGTTGCAGGTAGAAGTGTACTTTCAAAGCAAAAATCTCCCGATTGTCTCTTGCTCTACTTTAGTTTGCACTGTGGAGTGGTGTCAGGGTCCATGAACTTGGATTCCTTTTAGATGAAACTGAACTGAAAAGTGTACCCCAGCACCAAATGGGTGTTCAGTCCATGGGACTAGACTGAAACTAGTCCGAGGTAAAAACCCACTGAAGCGTGTGTAGTGTGAACATCAGGTCCTCAGTACCCACTGTTTTACTATACAACAGTCTGCCTCTGTTGGCCCACGCCACTTGCTAATGTAGCCATTGTTGGGTTTGCACTGAGAACTACAGAAATTTTCTGTGTTGTTTTGAGTAAGAACACATTGACTCTGGAAAATTATCAGCCTCCTGGTACCTGAACTGTCTCACTGAGAACTGGGTTGTTTGTATATGTGGTCCTGCATTGATCCGCTTTATCAGCTGTGGATTAATACCAGTTGATGAAACAAAGAGTAATGATGTAATGTTTCTGTCCAATTCTTTCTCTTTATTCCATTTAGATCTGGCAGAGAGTGACCTGGCATATACTCGAGCCATAATGGGCAGCGGAAAAGAAGACTACACTGGCAAAGAAGTGCTAATCCTAGGAGGTGGTGATGGGGGTATACTATATGAGATAGTCAAACTGAAGCCAAAGATGGTCACTATGGTAGAGATATCCTTTGACAAATGACTGATAATTCATTTTAAAAAATTCAGTGTGCATTTTCTGCTGATGTCATAGGACCTCATAGATAAATTTGTTTTGTGCTAATTTGCATGAGGACATAGAGTCTAAATTTAAATTTCTGCTTGTCAGTTTGGACAGTGACTATATATTTGGACATTGACCATATAGTACATAGGTTCATGCTGTAACTCTTGAACTTTTTTTTTTTTTTTTAAAGAAACTATTTAAAAAAAACCCTAAAACCAAGTTTAATCAATGGGAATGTTAGGACTTGGTGAATTGTGTTGGTGGCAGAACGATCTACTCCAGCTTATCTCATTTGAAGATGACGTTTTGCAAAACTAATGGTACAAATCAAGATTTCAACATTCTCTAGTTTAAGTATCATTTTTAATGTAAACCTACTGTTAGCCATTAAAATTTAGATTATCCTAGGTTTTGGGCCCCCCTTGCTAGACATTAGCAATAGTTGTTTTAAAGATGCAGTCAAACCTGCTTTAGCTTTATGGATTTTTTTAAAAACATACTATCCCATTGTTTATATTTCAAGTTTTAACAACAAGATGCCAGAAATACTGGTTGGAAACAAAATCAAGCTCTCATTGAAGTTGAGGATAAATACATAAGCTTGGCTCTTGCAATTTATATATCTTACTATTCCATTGTAATTTCACCTTCTTTGAGAATTTCTTTATGAAGACAAGGAAACTTTGCTCTCTGTGTTATTTCTGGAATGTGAAGTGCCTTAACCAACTTCAAACATTGACCAAATGGTGATTGACGGGTGTAAAAAATACATGCGTAAAACATGTGGAGATGTCTTGGACAATCTGAAAGGAGAATGCTATCAGGTAATCTTTGTTCTGCTCTTATTGAAAGGAAGGTTTCAAATACAGCTGGATCTAGCCTGGAAAACTGCTGTGGGGAAGGTTTTGGGGGAAGCCTTCTGATTTTCTTCACATTGGGAAGAATCCCCCCGCCCGCGACATCTCTGAACATCAGTAGTTGGCAGTGGGGTTTGGATTGGAAGTATACATTAGCGTCAAAATATTTAACTCTTCATCTTCAAACTCTTTTTAAAAATATTTATAGCCTTTAAGTAATGTGAAATTTGAGACAGTATATTGCCATGACAAATGAAGAGGAAAATAGCAATGCAGATGTAGACTGTTGAATATCATCTCTTAACCTGATGAAGAGATAGCAGAAGAAATGTTTATTTAAGCAAGGTTGTCCTGCACTATTGAGGATATACTTGGATACAAATTTGTTATACGCAACTTTTTTTAAATTTGTGGTCAAAATCCCGTGTTGTTAAACTCTCAGTGTAAAGAAAAAAATGCATGTAACCCAGCAGTTCAGGTTTTCATGTGCTCTATGTGCATGCAGGTCAAGTCTAACTTCTTTACTTCTGTTTTCATTAACGTTCCTTAAGCGTCTCGTAAACACCAGTTCGCAAGTGTGAGCGGGGGGGCAAAAAAAAAGCATGGAAAAAATTTAAGAGGTGTCGCTTGTTACCTTGCATGAGTTAGTGGCCCTTCATCCAAATGACTTATTTTACTGATACTTTGGGAAACCAGAACTGTTGCCCCCATTTGAGGGAACAGTGGTCACCCAGCAATTAACAGCAAAGCTAGGAAGCTCAGTCCTGTGGTGCCTCATGCTTGTAATTCCAGCAACTGCACTTCCTTTTTACGTGATGTAAAAAATTGAAAATGGAGCCTGTAGTTAAACCTAGATTTAATTTTTGTGCTTTTTTCCATCTTAATTCCTCTCAATCCATATTTGTTCCTTTTTCTGGTCAGTTCTAGGATATTTTCAGGACTAACTACAGTATTTCTTTCTTTCAGGTTCTAATTGAAGACTGTATTCCCGTACTGAAGAGATATGCCAAAGAAGGAAGGATGTTTGATTATGTAATTAATGATCTGACAGCTGTTCCAATATCTACATCTCCAGAAGAAGGTTAATCTTCTAATGTATTTTTCTAAAGTTCTGAGGACTTTCCACATTTCTGATGCTGTGTTCCACATTAATTAACAATTTGCATCAAAACTGTTTTGATTCTTACCTTTTTTTTTTAATACTAACTTTGAGAAGCGAAGAATTCTGATAACACTTTTTCAAAATTTTCTTCTTGAATTCTCTTAAAAAAAAAAAGTATGCTTTTTGTTTGTTTGTTTTTGTGGCACTGTGCTCTCGTTCTAGGATAATCTGAACTCATGTAAATCATGAGAAAGAGTATTGGGGGAGTACGCACTCCAGACTATGCACACTAACTCCCCTCCCCACTCCTCCCTCCCCTGCACTTGGACAAATATTCAGGAAATTATGCTAAAGAAAAAGATATTCGCTTCCACCAGTATGCCATTGGGCTTTGTTTACACCTATGGCATGTCTACTTTTTAAACAGTAGATGTGTGCAAGTATTGACTGCATAAGCCAGTGAATAAGCCAGTCATGTGGTGTTTTGTTTTTAAATCATCCTCTATGTGCAGATTCCACATGGGAGTTTCTGCGGTTGATTCTTGACCTCTCAATGAAAGTCTTGAAACAAGATGGAAAATATTTCACACAGGTATGATATCTGGATGTAAAGAGGTATTTCTGTAAATGTATTGCAATCTACATTTACCAGACACTTAAAAAAAACCCCAAAATCTCAATGTCTTTAAACTTAAAAACATAATTTCAAGTATCGGGCATACTAGAGAACATTGTAGCTATAAGCAATTCTTGAAAGAACAGATGTACTTTATAAATAGCGACGTGATTTTTGTGCTAATGGTTCCAGCGGTAGAGTGTAAAATATGAAAATCTGTCATTTACAAAGGTATAGGAGAATTTGACACTGGCAAAATAAACGGGAGGAGAAAATTAGTCAATTGAGAGTAGATACTCCTCTTTGTGCTTCCTGTCTTCTCCTAAAATAAAACTTTGCTTTGGCTTCTGGAAAACAGATTTTGAGCATTTATTTTATTTTTATAACGTGTGGCATGTTGTGAAGAAATTTCTAGAGTTCAGATAAGATTTTTATCCTCTTTTATGGAGTTTCTAATCCAATTCCAATCAAAAAGAAATAATTTAAGATTTATATACTTGTCACAGTATAGCCACCCCCTGTATAATATAGTGGTGATAAAGCTTTCATCTGAAGGTACTTTCTAGATGTAATTTGGAATTTTGCACACATTCTATTGTACAAAAACATAACAAGACCAGCAGAAGAGTTGAGTGAAGTATAAGTCTCTGAAGTTGTATTTCTGCTGATGTGTGTAGCATCCAGATGCGGCATTTTGAAATTTCTTGTTAAACTCTGAAATAGTTCTTAACCCAGCTGAAATTATGCTTTTGAACTCCTTATTCCTATCAGAGTAAGCTTTCTGAGGTATGCATAGGAAGTGGTTTACTGTTAGATAGCACAGGTTGATAAAGAAATGCAAAACTTGTAGAAGGGAGGTTTTCTTGGCAATTTTAATTTGCTGCTTTATTTTAAAATGCCGTGGTTGTGTAGGCAAGATAGATTCTTAATCTTGCGATTGAAATGTGAGATGTAACTAATACAGTCTTATCACACTGTAAGTCTTAATAGCTTTTCTATTCTGTTAATAATAATAGTGTAAACAATCCTTTCAAGATCAAAGCCTATCAGAAGACTACATCTTCTGGATAGAGTAAGCCCGTGTGTTGCAGTTTTCATACCCATAGCATACACAGTGAGACGAGCTTACTTCATCTGTGGGTATGTAACTGTACATCTGTGGACAGGCATGTGTCATGGCTTTGCAGAAGAGGACTCTGGCAGGACGACTGTGCTGCAAGCTGGTGTGATGGCTGTGCGGCAAGATGGGTGCAGGGGTGATTCCACATCAGCTGAAGCCAATGTTTGTCAGGGCTTGTGCAGCCCTGCTTCCTGTCCTGTCCTGTCCCGGCAGGAGGGAATAACTCAGCTTCTTAAGCATCACTTCTTCGGGGGTGGCAGTTCTGAACCAGCCCTAATAGAGATGGTTTGAGTTGTTGTGAAAGTGTGCAGTTCAAGTTTCTCTCTCCCAAGGCAATGGGGTGGGGCATGGCAGGACAGGAAAGAAATAATATTAAAGTGCCTTGGACTGGGATTTGTGGCTAATTGGTAGCTAGTGAAAGGGCTGGAGTCTAGAAGCAATATGTTCTTAGGCAACTTAGTCTTCCCGAGGGGTTTGAAAAGAGGAAAATGAGTACTGGGGCAAATAGCTATCAGAGCTTTCGATGTAGCTACTGGTATGCCTCCTACCCCAGCTCTTTCAGCACATTTGATAGTCCTTGTAGCCTCTTCCCAGTTGAGCCCGATGACATTGTGATCTGATTCTAGGAGGAACGGACTTTTAAGGGCACTTTAAATAAAATCAGCTGTCTATATCTTTCTTAAAAAAGCTTTTGAATTAAATTAACTGAAGCTGAATATCCAAAGGATTGGGTTACGCTGCAGACAGAAGTTCAAACATTACCGTTACCAACTTTGGTAGCTGAGTGTAGCTGTACACTGAAAATTCTTAGGATTCTGAATGTTCTGGTATGTTAGTTAATAAATGCCAGGCTTTTTGGCTGTATGTGTTAACATAGGCAATTTCAGTTACTTTTGTTCCAGCCCTGTGTATGCAGAGTGCCTATCTTAGGTAGTAGGCTCCTACTGGTTTTACTTGCTGAAGCAACTGCATTCCTTTTAAGGCAGTTGTGTTTTAAAACCTAAGACTTAAGAGTTTCTCGCCGTGTCTGTGTGCCCTCTTCCAAGTTTCTTGAAGTGTTTTTTGGTTCTCTAAAACATAAAATATATTTTAAATGTCATCCAGAAGAGCAACTGGGGAACATCCACCAGTTTGTTAAAGCCTAAACTTTCACTGACGATAGGGAAATGCCTCGCCTCCTAGGAAGGATGTTGCAAAAGGACCGTTCCCTTGTTGGCCAGTAGCTCTAGTCATTTCTTCTGTCTTGGCTTTATGCTGTACTAACATTTCAAGTGTCTGTGCAATAGCTTATCTTCTGATGCTCTTCACACAAGGTGACCTTTGCAGTTTCTTGTTAGTGTCGATTATCCTTAGGGCTCAATAAATGCCTTATGCAAAAGTAGAACTCTCTTTACAAAATGCCTACCTTTCACATATTGTATTGCTGCCTCACTCTGTAAATGCTCCTGTTGACAAAAATAAACAGAAGTGCCTGTCACCTGGTCACATTTAGCTCTGCCCAAGTTTTGCAAAATGTTCCTCTTCAGCTCATGAATTGATGTGAGGCATTTCACGGTAGATAGCATAATGCACCATCCTGTTACTACTAGGAGCAGACCACTGTAGGTGTCGTTCAGGAACGCTCTCAGCAGGCAGAGTCTAGAGATCTCTAAACGTAGTGCTGTGGAGTCCGGAAATGTTGATTGGAAACAATCCTTAAAACAGTTCTGAAAATGAAATAATTGCTAGTGGGTTGGTGACATGGAAGCAATACAGATTGTGGTGGTCTATAGAGTGTTACAAGAAAACAGTCAAACACCTCAGGCTGCTGCGTAACTGGCTGCTGCATTCTGGTCCCATTCAATATACTTCCCTGTGGAGTTCTAGTTACTGTTCACAGCCTAATTGAGAACTAATTCAGCCTTCTGTGTGTGACACTGATTGATATAGCTTTGAACTTTCAGAATTTTTTCCTATTTCCTTAATTATTATTAATGTTTGGTAATATGGTATGCATTAACGAGGAAGAAGGTTCCACTTGCCAACTGGTTACATAATGATGCGTCTGATTAATTGATTTAAAACCAAGTTCATCAGAGCTTCAGTGCACAGAAATAATCTGTTTTTGACATAATTGTGTTGAGCAGGTGGCATGATGGCTTGCCTTTTCATCTGAAGGAGATGACAAAATGGATGGTGCTGTTGCTGAAACTGGCTCTGAGTCTGTCTGCTTCTGCACAGTTGATGGGTTTTTCTAAAGAATATTGGCAGACCATAGACTTTGATTAGATCTTGCAGGTTATAACGCGGGTGCTCTATTTTTAGGATGCCTTGTGCATCTGAGAATTTTTAAGAAAAGCTTCCTCTGATTTGTATCCCTCATTGCAGTGGAAACCAAAGTGAATGAGGAATGGTGTCTACACCTGGACCTGAGAGCTGAGAAGTGCTCCTGGACCCACAGTTTAGTTACCCATTCAGTGTTTATATGAAGAGACAGGAAAATCTTGCATTTCCTCTATTTAATTATTTCTTTATTTTTCTAAGCCCATCTCTTCCTGGAAACGTGGAATAAAAGTAGTTAATCCTGATGCCTGTAGAACTGCATTAATGCATTGCATTGCAATGATATCAAGTTGGCTGTAAGTTTCACTGACGGAAGTCCTAACGCTTTATTATGAAATCACGCTTTTTTATAGCAGGATGATTTCTTTTCCATTTGCAGCTCACGTCATGAACATAGATCAGGCAAATATTTTGTTTAGCTAAACTAGTATCTTTGCTTGTTAGCAGTCATCTTTGTATTTCAGACACTCATGCTTGCAGTGTGTACTATAGCATTTACAGGTCATAAATTGCCTTGAGTTTTGGTGGTGCTAATAATTCTTGTACAACTGGGACGTGCCTCTCCCAAACCTGCATGTATGGCTTTGCTTGAAATCTGGCTGGCAGGCAGGCAAGTAGAAGTGCTGATACAAAATTTGCTAAAAATGCTGAGGGACACCCTAGTAATTCCAGGAGCATGTTAGACCAGATACCTGAAGGCAACAGTGAACTAAACAAGAAGTTACACTGTACGGAGAAGGTGAAGACGACTGAGGTGGTTTTCCTGTTTTGTGTGGGAATGTTTTGGGGGGGGGGCCGGGGTTTTTTTTTTTTTTTTTTTTTTCTTGTTTTAAAAAGAGCAGCATTTGGTTTGACTGTAAAGAGATGCAAGTCGGACGCTCCCGCCGTTGTATAAAAGAGAGGCAGGATTTAAAAACCCATGTGTGTTTTTGACTGAAACACGATTTCAGTCCAATCAGTCAACAAGATCGGTGTTTTCGTAGGGTCATGATTTCCCAGAATAGGTTTGTCAATAGCAGTTTCTTTCTTTGCATGTTATTCTAATGTTTAACCTGATTGTCTCCTTGGGATGCCCAGGTGTGGTGCTCAGAGCAGTCACAAAATGCTCGTGCAGGACGCGATTGGTGTTTTCATGGGATTGGTAATTGCCCCTGAAATACAACCATGATGTTATGAACAATGAGAGAAATCAGAAGATAGCTACTTTGTTCTAAGTAAATGTAACTTACCTAGTTATGCTTCTCCTTTGAGACTTTCAAAATAGCTTTTTTAGCAGCGGTTTCTTTCTTTGCGTCTCACTCTAATGAATAACCTGATTGTTCTCTTGGGGTGCTGAGGTGTGGTACTCAAAGCAGCCTCAAAGTGCTGGTGCATAACATCCTTCCTCCACTAGGTGGAGACTGGTAACTAATATTGGCTAGCAGTTTAGAGAGAGAGACTGCCTGCAAAAGGCTTTTCAGACTATTTATTTGCATTCCTGAGGGATACAGGAACATATGTGCCCAGTTTTATGATGAAGGAGAGGCTTTTTTTG